ATTCCTGTTAAACGGGTCAGTCGGGATTGGAATTGAGCTTATTTTCTCTAAGGTGTGAGGGGAATGCTCACATCTGGGATGTGGGGTGGGAGCTGAGCCAATACTTAGGACTGATGTCAAGTGCGGCATAATCCTACAGACTCTCCACTTCCACAGGAGCAGGCCTAAGCAGCCTGGAGCTGCCCGAGTGAAGAACATTCTCTGGCAAGAGATGAGCCATCTTTGTGTTCATCACTGATCCCCAAGCTCAGGTGTGCAATTTTCTGGTCCTCCGTGAATTCGAGCTGTTGCTTCTTCTAAAACATCTTTATATCTTGAAGAGAAAAGAATATGTGTGTGTGTGTGTGTGTGTGTGTGTGTGTGTGTCACAAAAATGAGAGAACTTGCTTTATGAGTTTCTTACCAAGAAATAGCTGGCGCAGTTCTCATGAAAAGGCCCTTACTTGGTTTCACATGATCTATCATGCAATAACCACTGGGCCATACATAATGAACCCAGGATCAGTTCATAATTCAAACAGGAAATTTGACCCAGCTCTTTAATGGAGGGCTTCCCTGGTGGCTTAGCTGGTAAAGAATCCACTTGCAATGCAGGAGACCTAGGTTCAATCCCTGGGTTGGGAAAATCCCCTGGAGAAGGGAATGGCTACCCACTCCAGTATTCTGGCCTGGAAAATCCCATGGACTGTATAAGTCCATGGAGTCGCAGAGTCAGACACAATTGAGCCAATCAAAAAAAATTTTTTTGACCCAGCTCTTTAATGATCTACCACCATAAATGGGCAATCCTCACAGCTCTAAAGCTATTTCCAGCACTGATCCTTACCCCAGTAGTCACAGCCAACCATAGCGACATATTTCCTATGGAAAAGTAAAGTTCAAAGAGGGCAGGCTCCCCATCTGTTTTAACCTCTCTGATCTATGAGTCTACTTATCAGAAGTCTGGAGAACAGACCACAGGTCTACTTTCCCTGGGCAGTAATACAGCTTCTTAGTGATGTCCATTCTCACAGCCCAGCCCTCCTGGCCATGCTCTGCCCTGGGGGAGGGGGAGAGAGGGGGGCAGAGAGAAGAGAGGAAGGAGGAGGAACTTCAAATGACCGTCAAGGCACAGTGAACCATGTCTGCCCCTGTTTCTTTGGACCAAGAATTTAACTGGGAAAGAATTTTAAGGCTGACTAAGAATATGTGTCAGAGCTCCTACTGTTTTACCCACATTAAAGTGACTGGGGTGGGGTGGAGAAGAGCCAGGTCAGAGATAATGGTACATACAGCCCACCGATTCTGAAAGCCAGTTTGGACCACAAGAAGCCCTCTGTCTAGGTATGTAGATTGTGCCTCCAGACATCTAAGGAGAGGTTATCAATCTGAGACCATCTTCAAGTTTCTGTGAAACAACCAGGGGTGAGCTGGATGACCTTGCAAATTCCCTTCCTGGTCTGACATTCTGCAATCAGATGGTAAGAGACTTGGAGAACTGGAAACAATTCTGCAAGGACATTTCTTTTAAAAAGTGTTTCTCAACATTTGTTCCGTTTCTATCTTTAAATCCACAAACAGAATATGTCATCACTCTTTCTTCACTGCTTCAAATGCATACCATGTTACCCTCTGGGGGTCCTGCTCCCCACCCACTGAGGGCCAGGGGCTGTCTCGTTCTCCTGTATGTCTCTAGAATCAGTGCAGCGCCTGGCATCAAATAGGAACTCAGCAAAAGGTGACTAGAGGGTGATGGACAGATTTCACTGGATGGAGGGTTTGTAGGGTTGGACAGTATCCAGTGCTAGGACCAGGAGATGGGATAACAGGAAGACAGCTGTGACTCCTTGGGAAGCAGGAAAGAATCTAGTGAAAAATTAAGAGTTTGGCAGGGGAAGGGAAGTGCATCTTCTCCATGGCAGTTACTCAGGGGTCTGCCCTGGGTGGGGCCCCTCAACCGCTCAGACCTAGAACCTGCTGGTCTCAGGGATTTCCTCTGTGCTTCCACTTTTCTGCTGTCAGGTAAATTACCCCCAGGAGCTAACCTCCATGAGTAGGAATCTTTGTCGTTTTCAGTAGCTTCTACGTATTGTCCATGTATTTACTGTGAACACAATGTGTTTCACATGTCTAGAACAGTGCCTGTCACTTAACAGGGACTTCTTATATATTTAATGAATGAATGGATACATTCAGTATGAGAAAGTTCACTCTTGAGTCTGAAGTGAGAGCCATTACTCTCTGACCAACCCAATATTTTTGTGTGGTTCAGAGTGGCTGCCGATTTTGAAAATATAAGGTTCCAGAGAAGGAATGAATGCAAACGGGCTCTACAAAGAAAGGCAGTGGATGGAGCCGGTGGACCAGCTGCCTGGGCTCCGGGCCCAGCTTTGCCCCCTAGGAGCCTCCTGGGGCCTCTGTCTCCCAAAGCTGTGTGGGCTTCATGACAGCACCTTCCTCTCAGAGTTTTTCTGAGGATCCACGTTAGTGTTAGTTGCTCAGTCATTCACCAAGGTATGTGTAAATATGATTCTATACTTTAGAAAATGGTAGATAAATTTACCTATATATATGTGTTTATGTCTCTATACGCAGATAAAAAAAAATATGGCAACATAAATAGTTGCTCAGTCATGCCTAACTTTTTACAACTCCATGGACTGTAGTTCACCAGGCTCCCCTGGTCCATGGAATTTCCCAGGCAAGAACCCTGCAGTGGCTTGCCACTCCCTTCTCCAGGGGATCTTCCCGATCCAGGCAGATTCTGCATTGCAGGCAAATTCCTTACCTTCTGAGCCACCAGGGAATGTGGATTAAGTAAGTCATCAGGCAAAACACAAGTAGAAAAGAACCTAGTGCATCCTACCGAGTACTATATATGCCGTTTAAACAGTAACCATGAATTTGGTTCCCTTGAACTTGCTGAAATTGTATGCAATCATTAGGTGAGAGAAGAGTGTTGAATTCTTTTTAGCAGTGTTGACTGTCCACAAGGCCTCACTCCTCGAGTTCCCAAGGGGCCGCAGACTTGCAGCTCTAGTAACTGGAGAAAAGTGCTGACAGTTATTACCTTTTCTGAGAAGCCCAGCGCTGTGGAGATGAATCAAGTTCATACATCAAGTTATAATCCAGGCACCGTCTTTATTAAAGCTACAATATGGCCAAGAACCCAAGCCACCCCCCCCCCCCCCCCACCAACCGCTGCCGAAAAAAGCCCCCACTAAAAAGCTAAACTGGATCAACTGTTCAGTCTCCACGAGGAAAGGTTTCCTGGCCCCTTTCCGGGGCCACTGCCCTTGGCTGCGGCTCCCATACATTTACAAATTCAGTCTGTATCGGAGGAACCAAAGTTCCGTGCGCTTTCCTCAATTCCGTCTTTGCTCTGTGGCCACGTCTCAGATCACGACACCAGTGAGGCAGGAACCGTGTCCTCCGGAACCCACCCGCCCTCCACCTGGCCCTCCACGATCACACGGGGCCGCGTGCCCCGGCCGACCTCCTCACACAGGAAACTGCTTAAAGCCAGGACCGCCTTAGAAAGGAAACGGCAGGCAGAGCACAGAAGCAGGGGGTGGGGGAGGGGGCCTCCCAGGAAGTTGGGCGCTGGGAGGCCGGAAGTGAAGTGAGGTGAAGTGAAGTGAAGTCGCTCAGTCGTGTCCGACTCTGCGACCCCATGGACTGTAGTCTACCAGGCTCCTCCGTCCATGGGGGTTTCTAGGCCAGAGTACTGGAGTGGGTTGCCATTTCCTTCTCCAGCGGATCTCCCCCACCCAGGGATCGAACCCGGGTCTCCCACATTGTAGGCAGCCGCTTTACCGTCCGAGCCACCAGGCAAGACTTGGGAGGCCGGAAGCAGGTACTAACCCCGCAAAGGAGGGGGTGTCCCAGTCTGGTTTCGGCGCCGGTGGCCGTCACCAGACCTTGGTGTTCTGCCTCTCCAAGAATACGCAGCACACTCTGAAAGAAAGAAGTAAGGCGACAGGAGAAAGATTCATAGATCCTAAACTCTATACAGCTTGTGTAAGACTGAAAAGATGTGCACTCATGCAGAGAGCTGGGAACTCTCTAGACTAAGTCTTTAAATACATGTTGACAGTCATATGTAATGAAAATATAGATGGTACTGACTGAAAAGGAGAACTGTTTAAAAAAAGAAAAGTAGAAGTGTTGACTACATGCTCAATATTTTTATTTTAATGAAATGTGTGAAGTGCAATACCTGTTTTTAAAAAACTGAAATAAAACTCTCTCAATATAGCTTTTTTTACCTCAAGTATAAATTTTAACCTTATATATGAAAGTGAAACTGTCAGTTGCTCAGTCATGTCTGACTCTTTGCGACCCCGTGGACTGTAGCCCGCCAGGCTTCTCTGTCCATGGAATTCTCCAGGCAAGAATACCAGAGTGGGTAGCCATTTCCTTCTCCAGGGCATCTTTCCCACCCAAGGATCAAACCCACATTGCAGGCAGATTCTTTACCCACACAGGGAAGCCCCTTATTTTAGGTGAATTTTTTTAAAAAATTTGTTAATGGATAATCAGCATTTCTGAAGAAAGAAAAAAAATTTTTTCTTCAACCCACAAAACTGCCAAAGAGAGAAAGCTAAGCCAAAGGAGCCAGTTTCTGATGGAGGAACCTTAAAACCAAAGTGGGAGAAGGCTGTCTACTCTGACTCCCTCCTGCTCCCCACTCGCAGAGTTCGAGCCCCACATGGCATCTCTGTGGAGCATGTGGCTGCCGTGTCCCTACCTGGAGTACCTGGGTCACCCCCAGGATCTGTACAAGGGAGCTGGGATAGGAGTCCATCACCTCTGCATTCAACAGCCAGCCTGACGCTCAGACTGCTAAGAGGTAACACCCTGTAAAAAATAAACATGAAGGAGAAGGCAGTGATTCACTTGGACGACACCCAGTGCAGACCTTGAGAAAGAGATCAGCTTGTTCCTGAAGGTGACTGAGAACGCCTGGAACAGCAACCTCCTCGGGTCTGCATTCGGTGCCAGCCTCGATCTGTCATCAGTGGTATTGAAGAAAGGTGCTCAGAGGGCACGTGCCAGCCTCAATTAATAGCTACCCATCCCACGCTGGATGTGGCTCTTCCTGCTGTGGTGGAATTTTCCATTAGACTTACTGACGACATTTCATGTCAAGTAAGTTAAAAATTGAGCTGAAAGGTCAAGGCTGCGATGAGGTGATCAAGAAAGGAAGGCCAAGCAGAAGTGCCGAGGGCACAGTTTAATGTAATATTACATCCCTGGTGCCTCTGATTGCTAAAATGCATGTGCAAACATAAAGACACCAAGGTAACCCCTGAAACACAGAATTCCAGAAAAGTAGGGCATTCTTGGCCTTATTTAACTCTGTGCTGTGCTTAGTCGTGTCCGACCCCTTTGCTTCCCTGTCCTTGGGGATTCTCCAGGCAAGAATACTGGAGTGGGTTGCCATGCCCTCTTCCAGGGTTAATTGCTACCTCCAAGGAAAGCAATCCCAACCGCTAAGAGGTAACGCCCCACAAGTTTCCTTCTAGTGCATCTTTCCAGGACCCAAAATTCAAACAGCTGGAATTGTCATTCAAGCACCATCCACTCAGCCTTTGAAAACAAGGGCTTTGCCTACTGATGGGAAACGTGTGTTTCATTTCACCAACGGACACAGTGTTCTGGGCCTCATTTATTCTTCACTTAAACAGCCTCTTTTGAGAACCGTGTGTTTGGCCTTTCCTACTTAACACCACCACTTAACACATGTTACAGCAAATTCATTTCTGTCATGAAAGGTTCCAAACGTGTAGAAGAAGAATAAAAAGCTTCGATCAAAACAACCTCTGCTCCCCAAGTTCTCAATTCCAAATAACAAAAAGAGGTGGCTTGAAAACATCCCTAATTCCATTTTAAACATCCGATTTCCTAAGGAGGGACTCAGTCAAGGGAAGAGGAAGTATTAAAATAAATACCAGAGCAATAAAAACCTAGTGGTTCATATAGTGGCTCACAAGCAAGTGAGCAACGTGCTTGTACAGGCAAGTTGAACACCGGTGCAATTTTCTAAATTCTGCCTCAAGTGAGAAAGTGATATGGAACTCAAATCCCTAGAATTTATAGCTATAGGTAGTTTAGGAGGAGGAGAAAATCTCTGAATAATAAAACCCAGATTTTTGGGCTTCCAAACTGGGTCCCAAACAAGCGATATTAACCCACATTTATTGGCCTATTAGGTCTTCCCTGATAGTTCAGTTGGTAAAGAAATCGCCTGCAATGCAGGAGACTTGGGTTCGATCCCTGAATTGGGAAGATCCCCTGGAGAAGCGAAAGGCTACCCACTCCAGTATTCTTGCCTGGAGAATTCCATGGACTGTATAGTCCATGGGGTCACAAAGAGTCAGACACAACTGAGTGACTTTCCCTTTCACTGGCATATAAAGCTACCCAGCGTAGGGACTTCCGAGGTCATCTAGTAGTTAAGAATCCACCTTGCAATCAAAACAACGAAATCACCTCACAATGGTCAGAATGGCCATCATCAAAAAAATCTACAAACATAAATGCTGGAGAGTATGTGGAGAAAAGGGAACCCTCTTGTACTATTGGTGGGAATATAAATTGATACAGCCACTGTGGAAGACAGTCTGGTTGTTGTTCAGTCATTCATTTGTGTCCAACTCTTTGCCACCCCCTGGACTGAAGCATGCTTACCTGTCCTTCACCATCTCCTGGAGTTTGCTCAAACTGATCTCCATTGAGTTGGTGATCTCAGCCATCTCATCCTCTATCATCCCCTTCTCCTCCTGCCTTTAATCTTTCCCAGCATCAGGGTCTTTTCCAATGAGTTGGCTCTTTGCATCAGGTGGCCAAAGTGTTGGAGCTTCAGCTTCAGCATCAGTCCTTTCAATGAATATTCATGGTTGATTTCCTTTAGGATAGACTGATTGGATATCCTTGCAGTCCAAGGGACTCTCAAGAGTCTTCTCCAGCACCACAGTTCAAAAGCATCAGTTCTTTGGTGCTCAGCTTTCTTTATAGTCCAACTCTCACATTCATACATGATCACTGGAAAAACCATAGCCTTGACCAGACGGACCTCTGTTGGCAAAGTAATGTCTCAGCTTTTTAATAAGCTGTCTAGGTTGGTCATAACTTTCCTTCCAAGGAGTAGGCGTCTTTTAATTTCATGGCTGCAATCACCATCTGCAGTGATTTTGGAGCCCCCCAAAATAAAGTCAGTCGCTGTTTCCACTTTTTCCCCATCTGTTTGCCATGAAGTGATGGGACCAGATGTCATGATCTTAGTTTTCTGAATGTTGAGCTTTAAGCCACCTTCTTCACACTCCTCTTTCACTTTCATCAAGAGGCTCTGTAGTTCTTCACATTCTGCCATAAAAGTGGTGTCCTCTGCATCTCTGAGGTTATTGGTATTTCTCCCAGCAATCTTGATTCCAGCTTGTGCTTCATCCAGCCCAGCATTTCTCATGATGTACTCTGCATATAAGTTAAATAAACAGGTTGACAGTATACAACCTGATATACTCCTTTCCCTATTTGGAACCAGTCTGTTGCTCCATGTCCAGTTCTAACTGTTGCTTCCTAACCTGCATACAGATTTCTCAGGAGACAGGTCAAGTAGTCTGGTATTCCCATCTCTTTGAGAATTTTTCACAGTTTATTGTGATCCACACAGTCAAAGGCTTTGACGTAGTCAGTAAAGCAGAAATAGATGTTTTTTCTGGAAATCTCTTGCTTTTTCGATGATCCAGCGGATGTTGGCAATTTGATCTCTGGTTCCTCTGCCTTTTCTAAAACCAGCTTGAACACCTGGAAGTTCATGGTTCACGTATTGCTGAAGCCTGGCTTGGAGAATTTTGAGCATTACTTTACTAACGTGTGAAATGAGTGCAATTGTGCAGTAGCTTGAGCATTCTTTGGCATTGCCTTTCTTAGGGATTGGAATGAAAACTGACCTTTTCCAGTCCTGTAGCCACTGCTGAGTTTTCCAAATTTGCTGGCATATTGAGTGCAGCACTTTCCCAGCATCATCTTTCAGGATTTGAAATAACTCAACTGGAATTCCGTCACCTCCACTAGCTTTGTTCATAGTGATGCTTCCTAAGGCCCACTTGACTTCACATTCCAGGATGTCTGGCTGTAGGTGAGTGATCTCATCATTGTGATTATCTGGGTCATGAAGATCTTTTTTGTACAGTTCTTCTAGGTATTCTTGCCACCCCTTCTGAATCTCTTCTGCTTCTCTTAGGTCCATACCATTTCTGTCCTTTAGTGTGCCCATCTTTGCATGAAATGTTCCCTTGGTATCTCTAATTTTCTTGAAGAGATCTCTAGTCTTTCCCATTCTGTTGTTTTCCTCTATTTCTTTGCATTGATCACTGAGGAAGGCTTTCTTATGTCTCCTTGCTATTCTTTGGAATTCTGCATTCAAATGGGTATATCCTTCCTTTTCTCCTTTGCTTTTCGATTCTCTTCTTTTCACAGTTATTTGTAAGGCTTCCTCAGACAGCCATTTTGCTTTTTTACATTTTTTTTTCCCTTGGGGATGATCTTGATCCCTGTCTCCTGTACAATGTCATGAACCTCCATCCATAGTTCATCAGGCTCTCTGTCTATCAGATCTAGCCCCTTATATCTATTTCTCACTTCCACTGTATAATTGTACGGGATTTGATTTAGGTCATACCTGAATAGTCTAATGGTTTTCCCTACTTTCTTCAATTGAAGTCTGAATTTGTTACTAAGGAGTTCATGATCTGAGCCACAGTCGGCTCCCGGTCTTGTTTTTGCTGGCTGTGTAGAGCTGCTCCATCTTTGGCTGCAAAGAGTATGACCAATCTGATTTGGGTGTTGTCCATCTAGTGATGGCCACGTGTAGAGTCTTCTCTTGTGTTGATGGAATGTTACTTAGCCATAAAAAGGAACACATCTGAATCAGTTCTAACGGGGTGGATGAACCTAGAGCCTATTATACAGAGTGAAGTAAGTCAGAAAGAGAAAAACACATATCATATATTAACACATACATGTGGAATCTAGAAAGATGGTGCTGATGAACCTATGTGCAGGGCAGCAGTGGAGATGCATACAAAGATCAGACTTGTGGACACAGTGGGGGAAGGAGAGTAGCAGGGAAGCACATACACTACCATATGTAAAGCAGATAGCCAGTGGGAATTTGCCGCATGACTCAGGGAATTCAAACTGCAGCTCTGTGACAACCTGAAGAGGTGGAATGGGGCTGGGAAGTGGGAGGGAGCTACAAGAGGGAGAGGACATATGTATACCTATGGCTGATTCATGTGGATGTATGGCAGAAACCAACACACATATTGTAAAACAATTATCCTTCAATAGAAATAAATATATTCTTTTAAAAAAAAGCATCCAGCTTGCAATGCAAGGTTTGAAACCTGGTTGGGGAACTAAGGTCCCACTTGCCATGCAGCAACTGAGCCTGCACGCCACAACTAGAGACTCCAAGTGCTGCCACGAAAGAAGGATCCTACGGGATGCCATGAAGATCCTGAGTGCCACAACTAAGACCTGATGCAGCCAAACAAATAAATTTAAAAAAAATTTTTTTTTAAGTTACCCAGCATGTAGCAACATGGATGGACCTAGAGATGATCATACTAAGTGGAGTAAATCAGACCAAGAAAGACAAATATCAAATGATGTCACTCATATGTGGACTATAAAAAAGTGATACAATTAAATTTATTTACAAAATAGAAATAGAGACATAGGAAACAGACTTATGTTTCCCAAAGGAAAAAACAAGGAAGAGATAAATCAGAAGTAGGGGGCTAGCAGATACACACTACTATACATAAAATAAATAAACAACATGGACCTACTCTACAGAGCAGGGGACTACCTTCAATATCATGTAATAGCCTATCATGGAGAAGAATCTGAAAAAGTAACATATGTATATAACCGAATCACTTTGCTGGACAGCTGAAAACTGTAAATCAACCACACTTCCAATTGTTTAAAAAGAAAGTAAAAAAAAAAAAAAAACCCACAAAACAAACAAATGTAGATACCCAGCATGTATTTGCATCTGTGTTTTCTAAACCAATTAAATATGTCTTGCC